AGGACTTAGCTGCTTATGGTAAAAGCGTGTAAGAAGTAGAGACTCCTGTATATTGTCTGTTAAAATATTTTGTATCATCTCACTTGCCAGTACAAAGTTTAAAGCCTAGCACATTGCCTTTGGGTATTTGGGGATGGCATTTAAAATTGCTGTGTATAGCACGCTGTTTTGAGAGGGAGGGGTTTTTTGGGGGGGAGAGGGGTGGTGGTTGTTTTGATTTTTGGCTGGTGGTGGTGTGGGGTTTTTTCTGTTTAATTTACTTGTATCCAGACATCTGCCTATAACCATTTAATAAAAACAAAAAAAAAAGTTGATATATGCACTGGTCATGTTTTACTGAAGTGCTCCGCTGACCTACATGGCAGAGATGATGACATCTTGTAACTCCAGACCTAAAAGCAGCTTGTGTGGGCATGCACACCACACGTACGTGTATAAATGGAGCCGCTGGCAAGGTTTTAACAACTTTGTGCCCTTTATATTCTCATACATGTCACTAATATTTCTAGATATGTAGAGAATCTGAATTTCAAACAATCCAACAAAAGGCAAAACCCAGACTGTCTTCAGTTGTTTGGTTGACATGTTAACAGCGGCCTTGAAGAGAAGAAATGCAATTTTTACATGCACATTAAAGGGCACTGTCAACTTAAGTTGGATCCAAAAATCTTTAATACTAAAAAAAAAGTTTTAATGATTTAAAAAACAATAATAAAGAAGTTTAGAAATACAAATAATTCCCAGGCACTTTTGAAACAAAAATGTATAAACCTAAAGATGCATAAAATAAAATAAAATAAAATAAAAGTGAACAGATTTCACTGTTCAAATGAAAACAGTGAAAATAAAGAAGGTGTTATTAAATTTTTCATTGAGTCAGAATATTCTAAATCAACAGATAAATACTGGTTTTAAATATCATAGTCTGTAAAAGCAGGTTTAAAGAAGTCTGTTTGTGAAGTATCCAATATAATTCAAAATTATTTAGAAAGAGTATTTGGGAGTCTGCTCCCCCCACCCGCATGCATTTTATTGTCGGCATTTGACAGCATTTTCTTGCAGCTAGGATCAGAAACTGCTTCCCAGTTGTACGGATTTTTCTCACCCAGCATGAAAAATGAAAAGCTTTAAAAAGTTTAAAAAGTTAAGATGATTATAAAAGTACAAAAACTAGTAAGGAAACAAAGTCAGTGTTAATAATATCAAAGATTTTTAAAAAAAAACCCAACCCAGCTGGCTGGGTTTTAAATTGACAGCATCCTTTTAATCCTTTCCTACCAAGAATCTGATTCTTGCTTGCAAAGTGTCTGTCACCTGGAATGGATATATTAATTTTTAATTCCCAGAAATTGAAATGTGAGCCTTAATCTAGACAGTCTCAGGTTTACTCAGTCAACTTTAAAACGGCAAAAAAATCAAAGCAACCCTCTCAGAGAGTTTTATTTTCTAGACAATCAAAAAGCTCCAGAATGCTCCAAGATCCACAAATATAGTTAAGTCACTGCTACAAATAAAGTTCGGTTTATAAGAATTTGTCATTTAAACTAGACTAAAGGACTTCAGTTATGAAACTGCCTTACAAAACATCAGTAAATTAAATAACCACATTTGGAAGATTTACAAGGTCTTGCACCAAGAGGTTAAATGCGCTATGAATACCAGTGCAGCATGTATTCCTTTAGTGAAATACAGTGCAATTATGTGCAAAAGTACGTTAAAACGTATACTCCTAAACAAAGTCAATTACGTAGAGCTAAGACTTTAAGATATGTAGCCTGCATGGCCTTTAAAAAACCTTTGAGAACGAGACCATACTAGAAATAACTTTCCTAAAAACATTATTTTTGTTTCTTCATTAAGCACCATAGGAATATTTTAAAACAGCTACATCATTTTCTCAAAGCTTGTAGAGGCTGGATCTACAACGGAAGATTTCAGGAAAAACATCCAAAAACTAAGTGGAAAGCACAGCAAACAGGTTTACATGAACATCTGGTCACAAGAATGTGGATAAACTACATCCTCTTCTAAATACAAAGGTTGAAGGACTCCACTGAAAACAAAGCAGCACAATATGACATCAACAGGAAACATCGATTTTGGTGGTCACTTTCAACCTGGAACGGGACCGGCGTACCCCCCACCCGCACCCCTTACCCAGTGTTACACAAACCTTAACACAGCTCCATTCTCTATGCACAAGACACACAAGAACAATCTCTAAGACCAAAAAAAAGGTTGAAGTAAAATCGCTGAAGGTCTCTGCAGTCATTCCTGCAGCTCTTACTACACACCGACTTTCGCAAGAGGTTCATTTTCCCCACTCCGAATGTCTTCACAGTTTCAGAGTTCGCTAGCCTGCACCTCAGCACGGCTCAGCCGTATGAGAAGCTAAATCTTCTGGCAGTTTAATTGTGGCGCACTAGCCAGAACCACACTCAGCTGATATTCCATATCTAGTGGCCTCTACCAATATTTACAACGAGGTGGCATCTTCATGCTAGAATAACCAAAAATTGGGATGCCTGGTAACTAAATATCCTTTTGGATTCCTATTTACATTCTTACTCCACAGCCATTAGCAAGTCAGTCTCCTAACAAACACAGATCTAGTGACTCTCTTTCAGGTGTTCTCACACACAAAAGTTCTTCCTTTATCAGATAAGCAGATACAAAAAAAAAATGCCCTCTGATGTTGGGCGTACTCAACAAAAATAGGGCAGTAGCCCAAAAGACTCGCCCTGGTAGGCTGGAGGTGGCATTTTCAAACTTGCTGGCATGATTTCCAAGGCCACGTTTTGCTCAGATTTTCAAAAGTGCTAAGGACCCAAAACCACAGCAGGATTTTCAAAAGAGCTCAGCTCCAAATCTGGCATCGACATGAGTTGTCTCTTTGATGGTCTTAATCTAGATTACTAAAATAGGGGCAATAAAGCCATGAATTTTTTAAAAGATCTTGTCCCAGCATTGTTTTTCTATGATGATTTGTGTCACTATGATACTGTTCAGCTACCACAAACTCAGATTTACAGATGATCTGGAATAGGGACCACTGAAAGCTTATGCAACTTAAGTTACAGAAAATAAACGTAGCACGTGATGCCAGCATCTTCTTGCGAAGGTGGCACTCGTCAAGATCTTAGACCAGACCCTTTCAAAATAAGTCTCTTTACTAGCAATTCAAGAAAACAGTGGAAGGTAAAAAGACTTGTTTAAAAAGAAGCTTGTTTCTTCTTTCCTCATCCTACTTGCTCTGGCAATGAGTTCTTAACTGCAGTTGTGATATCGCCTCTCACAAGTAAATTGCGACATCACTATAGGACTACTGTTTCACTGTAGGATGAAGCAGATAGAGAAGCTGAATTGTTTTTTTTCAGTATGTAAAATAAAAGCACAAGGTATGCAAAAAAACCCCAACTGGTTACATCAGAGGGCTCTCTGTTTTTTTAGGTTCCATCTAATGTTTGCCAAGTGTAAAGTCTTTACACTAAAAACTTCCAGAAGCACTGTCTTGTTAAGTGGGAGGAACTGCTCATCCCTTGTCAGCCATGTCCGTCTACAGGCTTCTGATCTAGCACTTACTCCAGCTAGACAGGCTCAAACAATTTGCCTTTTCATGAAACACTTATGAACAACATAGTAAAGAAGCATTAACAGTCTTATTTCACAGTATATTTCAGTTTTGTCTCTTCATTAGGAAACAGTAGGTTACCTATAAGCAAACAGGCTTTCTCTTGGTGGTGCGTTTTCTTCTAAAGCTTCCCAGCTTGGTTTTTTGATAGCTTATATCAACTTGGTACTGGAAAGGTGAAAAAATCTCACCTCCTTTGGAAGCCAACCTTTATCTATCCCAGCAAAGAAACATGAGGTCCGCACTGAAGAGGTTTAAAAAAAAAAAATAAAACAGTACTTGGATAAATTCACATGACAACATAAACCGTGAGAAGGATCACCAAAGACTAAAAGAAAATACAGTAAAAGAAAAGGATTTGCATACAAAGAGGCTACTAAAAATTTCTGAGATTTCCTACCCAATTGTTTCAAAAGGAGTATTTAGAGCTGTTTGATATGCATAGCTCAGACATGGATATTTAACTGCTCCTCAGCTACATCAGCTGTCAATCTGGCTATTTAATCACTAGAATCAGAATTCCCAAGTACCCTGATTGACAGCTTTTAACTTCTACTGTAAAAAGCTGAAGAAAATTGGGCAGTTTGTTTAGTCTAAACTGAGAGACCAGGACACTAGCCACCATAATGTGTGCTTAATTATTTCTTAAGCCAAAGCTGCTAATGTCAAACTGACATTAAAGACACATCTGAAGATCTGTAGTCTGAGCTCTTCAGAGAGGAAGATGTAGTAAAAACAATTCAGAAAGAGAAACTCATTCTCTAAATACCTGCAATTAAGGACACATGAAATATATTTATTCTTACTGTCTATGCCTGCAGCAGCAGCATATTTTTGCTATCCTGGTTTGTCTGTCCTGGTTTCCAGGCCGAATCCAGTCTAAGCAAACACTTAAGGTTTACACTTCAGATAACAGTGTCCTAATACAGAAGGATCACAACTTAGTTTAGAAAAGTCCCAAGGCAATGGATGAAAACTACATTTCTTTTCATGTAATCTTCAGAGAGAAGATGGTGCCCCTTTCAGATCTGGGATTAAGGACCATGACAGCATTATTTGAAGAAACCTGTTATCAAAACAAAACAGAAATGTTCCACCTGCAAAATCAAAACTAGAAGGCAGAGACACCACTGGAAATTGCTCAAGTGTAACCTCTGTGAACCCCAGACAGAAGATTCTTCACAGATTTCTGGTGCACAGCACTGAAAACTTAAAAGTATTAAAAATTCCAATTCTCCCTACTCTTCTATTAAAAAACAGAATAATAAAAACCAGCACAGTCTCACTAATTGGGCAAATACACAGTTTTCCATTGCAGACCGACCACTGCCAGGGAGACACTTTAAATCCTCCCACTCTCCTCGCACTGCTACATAAGTGTTTCTCGGTCTGACAAGCTCCTGTGGATTTCCTGCTTGTCATCACCATCGGCATCATCATCATCAGCGGGATCGTTCTCCTCTCCAGACTCCACATATATGGGCCAATCGTTATCCGCATCCCCCTTCTCTTGGCCTTCTGATGAAGGTTCCATTAGGCTGAGGTTAATGGGCATCGAGTCCTCGTGTGTAGTGGTCACGCAAGTGCAGCTGTCGCACAAGCCAAAGCGTCGTAATCCTTGAGACAGGCTACTCGTGAACGTTCTCCTGCAACCTTTACAGATAATCGGCTTGTTCGATCGATGCACCTGAAGTTAAAAATAAAACATTATGGTAAAAAAGGCAATCTGCCTTCTTGCTTTAGCTCCTTCTGGGGTGCTGCTTTGCATTTAATCCTAGAAGAGAAAAACATCTACGCTGAAGCTAAAGGGCAGATGATCCCATCACATTTCCAGCAATAAAAACATTTGGGTCTACATAAGTACTAATGAACATACCAGTAGCCTAAACTTAGTATTGGAGAAGTTTCTCTCACATTGGCAACAATCATTTTGTCCAACATATTTTGGGAAATACAACTGGGAAACACCAAAAACTTTAAAAAATTTACTGATAGTCTTTCAAACTTACACTTAAAGCGTGACTCCGAAGGTGTTCCTGCCGAGTGAAACGTTTCCCGCACGTCTCACAGGGATATGGTCTCTCGCCTGTGTGAGAGCGAATGTGCCGTTTTAGTATTCCTTTCTGTTTAGCCGTGTAGGGACAGAACGGACATTTGTGAAGCTTGATTGGCACAACTAACACATCACCTTTTGAAAGAAAACACAACGCGTTAGACCAGGCAGTTCACCAACATTAGCTATGTTGGCTTCATATCCTCCTTGCTGCACATCTGAGTCAAGATAATTGACTTTCCCCTCTTTTTGTGTTTGGCTTACCTGGAATTTCTGTAGGTTGTGTAATTTCAGAAGACATTCATGCAGCTGCAGATGATCCAGTCCCTTGAAAATCAGCTTGCCTATACTTACACAGCTGATACTCTAAGGGAGTTGGCTCACAACAGAAAAACAAATAAATTTTACTTTAAGAAGCCATTTAATTAAGTGCCCAAAATTTGCTTTTAGTGCAGTGGGGTCTCTGCACTATCTCAGCCATAGAAAGTTTCCTACTTTCTTTTTTTTTTTTTTCTCCTAAACGTACCATTAGCATTAAACAGCATTAGAAACTAAAATCTTTAACACAAATTACAGGTAGAAGTATACTGTGCAATGTTTCCCATATGCTTTTACAATGTGCATAAATTTAGATGCGAGGAACCCATCAAAAAAAATGAATGCTTGCTTCTACTGCCATTCACTTTAGCCTTTCTATTGGTAATAACAAGATGAAGGACTCCAATACATTTGCTGATATTTTACTTTTCCTAAAACCATACTATATACACACAAGTAATATGTAATTTATGAAGTCAGATGCAAAGAGAATTAAATTTGAAGATCACATTTTACATGGGAATTGCCAAGCTTTTCAGTGTCAGCCCAGATACGAGCTTCCTTTCCAGCATAAAGGTTGAGATGTTATACTAAAAGATTAGTTTTCCCTGTTTCAGGTACTGATTCGGGAAAGTGTTTGCATTAACAGTTACACCAAAGGAGGTGGAGCTGTAGAACATTCCTTGCACTA